TAAGAGAATGATTCTGTGATTGGCGATACGCGAATCCGCTTACGCACGATCCGCTGCATGGGACATCACCCTTAGTCGACGAATGCTAAACACTGCTCCGGGTGCAGCCCAATGCAATAAAGGGTAATTATTTAGAATAGCATACCTCACCTAAAATCTTATAGCGTTTTCGATTGGGCAAAAGTTAGTGCGCACCAGTGCGCACTCAGTTCACACCAACACTGGACGAGTTCCATGGGTTGCACTGAATAGTGCAAGTTCAAAAGAATATGCCAAGATTTTCAGTGCAAAAGCTGAAACTCATTTTTGTTCATTTTGAAGCAATGTTCAACAAAATGTTACAAAACCACAGTAAAAGATATTAAGAGTAGGGACAAGACCCCGTTTTCAATTCAACTGTGCAGATTTGCTTGTCCCTATGTATATCCTTAACTGTGATAAAACGTGCACTGAACTGGCACCGTCAAAATATCTCGTGCCACTTAGTGCGCACTGAGTGCGCACTACGCGAGTGTCGCGCGATCAAATGAACACGTGACACTAGCCAAGTGCGCATTGGCACTGCCAATCGAACACGCTCTTGACACTGAGTGCAGCCAGTGCACCCCAATCGAAAACGCTATTAATGAAAATACACTCATCCAACGCATTTTCACTCAAAATAAAAGAATCTGGCAAAAAAAAATGCGGCGGTCGGCCTCATGAACCAAGATATTAAGCGCTAAAATTCCATATTTTAGAGGTTAAGATATATGTCATTCCAGGGTGATCCCGATTGATCACGGCTCGATTGGACACTACCAATCACATCGACCGGTGCTTAGGAGCTTTGTAGTCTCAAGCACTGTGAGTAGTGGCTCGTGTCCAATTTAGCCAGTTTGTCTCACTCTAACTTATTGCACTATTTCAGAATTCTTCGAAAAACAGATCTTACGTATACGTAGCGCTGCAGCGAGTCGGAATAACAGGGTGGCACCCAGTTGGACACGGCTCAATTGGACACGGTGAGACAAACTACAGCTGTCTCACTCTAACATATAGTACTAATGTACTCCAGGTCAGAACTTAGAAAAAGAACAGACCCGTACTTTAGTTTGATGCGCATGCACGATGTGGCTATATTATTTTTCGAAATTTAAAATAAGTGAAGCACTAACAAAACAACAATTCACTGCTTTAAAGATAATAATTCACTACTTCAAAAACAATTCACTGCTTTAAAAATGACAATTCACTACTTTAAAAACAACAATTCACTGTTTTAAAAACAATTCACTGCCTTAAAAACAACAATACATTATTTTAAACATACAAATTCTTTGTATTAGCAATAAATTTATATTTTTAAAGCAGTGAATTATTGTTTTTGAAGTAGTAAATTGTTCTTTAAGCAGTGAATTGTTTTTAAAGCGGCAAATTGTTCTTTAAGCAGTGAATTGTTTTTAAAGCAGTACTTTTGTGTTTTTAAAATATAAAATACAGTTTATTATTTAAAATGTATAGCTCTTTGATTTTTCTTATATGGATTAAAATTTAAATCCAACATTTCTTTGAAATACACATTAAAGCTATAAATGCGACTTCGTCGTTGTTGTTCAAATTCCTATATATTTTACAAAACGTTACAAATGTTTCATTATGTATTATTTAATTCGTTTATTAAAATTAATGATATTACCTCATGATTTAAATAATTAAACCTGTAGTGAATCATGCGTTTCCGATCTTTTGTATACACTTTTTTTAAATGTAATATAAACCTCTCGGCCACAATTTTGCATATCTAACTACATCTTGGACAGCAAGCCAAGGATTTTTATTCAGTTCCTCTACTAAATATGCCATTTTACTTATTACGATTAAATCAGTCTACAGCAGAGAAGTATGCATTCCAGAACAACAACCACTTACTGACCGCTTAGTAAGCTTTTTCATTTGATTGGCATATTCCACTAGATCCTAAAATATAGACCAATCAGATGAGTGCTCCAAACTACAACTGCCTTAGGGTGATGTCCCATGCAGCGGATCGTGCGTAAGCGGATTCGCGTATCGCCAATCACAGAATTATTCTCTTAGATCTGTTTGCAAATTTCGCAAACACCCTTAGTCTAACTTATTACACTATTTCAGAATTATTCGAAAAAAAAACAAATCTTACGTATACGTAGTGCTGCAGCAAGTCGGAATGATAGATATCTTAACCTCTAAAATCTCAAATTTTAATGCTTAATATCTCGGTTCACGAGGTCGACCGCCGCATTTTTTTGCCAGATTCTTTCATTTTGAGTGAAAACGCGTCGGCTGAGTGTATTTTTATTAAGATTTTCGGTGGGGTATGCTATTCTAAATAATTACCGATTAAAGATTGAAATTTCATCAATAACGAGAAAGAAATTTTGACTCTTTTTGTTTTGATTGGTCAAACTTCAATCTTTCAATTTTTAACCTCATTCTTCAATGTGTAGTCTGATTCCGGCCTTAGGATCTCTAATTGGGACTACTTCCATTTCATGGAGTTTCCGCCTGCTTCTCTCTTACTTCATGACTTCCGGCCACGCGTGTGCGCCGACTCGACTAAACTCCCGCGCGAGCCTGGCATTGCTCGCCTGGTGGAGAAGACAGAAAAGGCACTCTCGGACAATTGGCGTATCGACCGAGCATACATCGAATCGTCATCGCTCAGTGACGTGTAGCGTGTCGCCCGTGATCTTGCGAAACAACGAAAGGTATATGCGGTCATCGATGAGCAACAATAATCGATATCGAACGCGTGGCAGTTTCTCAGCGGTTTCACTGCATCGTAATTTTGCTTGACGATAAACGCTCCTTGTTTTACTCCCTCCCCCCCTGCTGTCCGGATTGGCCATATTGCTAGCCGTTGATAAATTCACGGGATTTTCGTACCGACTGGTAAGCTTAGCTTTTGGTGGGACACATTTTCGTCCATTTCGTCCGTCGCGGTCCTTAACGCGTCCGTGTCGAGGTGTCCGTGATGGTTCGAGACGTAGCGAGACGCGCGACGGAACGTCAACGAGTGGAAGGAATTGCGCGTTTGTGGAATCGCAAAGCGGACATTCAGCCCAGCCGCGCCGTTGCATTTCCGCGGTGCGACACACGTGATTCTCATTCGTTTCTCTCGCAATGTTTCTTCTTTGATGGTTTTGAATTTTCGCTTTTCTCTTTCGTTCTTTCTCGGTCCTGCACGACTTGGCTTCGAGTAAGAATCGCGCGGAATTATCTGTGGACACGCGCAAGATTTTTTCTTAACGTCGGATCAACAGTTACCTCACAGATGTATATATTTATGCGCCAATTGCTGGTTTTACGCCGTGTTGTTCAGTCTTGGGGTATGTTCCTCGAAAAATATCGTATACAAAAATGTATGAAAATACTTTAGTTTATGTTACATATATTATAAATTTTCCTATTTTATAATAGATTTTCGTATACGATATTTTTCGAAAATAGAAGGCCCCGTTTTGCTACGAAAGCTGAAAAACATTACCAGGATACGGGAGAACAACTACCAGAAGTATCAATTACTACGTTTACACGGCACGCTTTACGCCGAAGTTATAACATCGGTGTTATGAAACTGGCCAATCATAGTCATTCCATTCTTCAGAGGAATAGCTATGATTGGCTAGTTTCATAACATCGATGTTACAACTTCGGCGTAAAGCGTGCCGTGTTAACGTAGTAAGTGACTGCGTTCAGCAGACTCAATAATTGGGTGAGCGCTCGTTGTTATTGATGTATTCTTCTAGATCCAAAATCTGGTTGGACGATCTAAAAGAATACAGTAATAACAGCGAGCGTTCACTCAACTGTTGAGTTTGCTGAACGCAGCAAATGTGCTCACTAGTTCTGTGCTGTGAACATGTTATTTCTGTTAGGAATTACCTATAAATCAGCGAGAGAAATAAATGATATCGAAAATTGTTTGACTAAAAAGAAAAACAGTCTACATATTGATTTCAGGTTTTTTAAAAGTTTAAACTGAAAATTTATATTATCGAGAATAACAAAATTTCTGTTGTAGATAAAATTACAACTTTTTGTTTAAATATATACATATAAGGAAAAGTATAAGATATAAATAATTAAACAATATAAGATATATATGATATGCATATGCAATGAATATAAAAGGTACAAAATAAATAAGATCTTAAGTGATATATATATAATATGCGATAGATTTTAAGACGGTATAAAAATATACGTAAATGTTATCAACGACATTATCTGTATTTTTTATCATTTTTATAACCTATATAATGTACTGGATTATTTATTTTTGTATTTTGGTGCAAGTCGGTTATTCGTATGCAATTCATAATGATTTTTTGTATCAAAGAATAACTTGGACGTTTGCTTATGCATATCCAATTGATTTTATAACATAGAACGTTTGTGTATTTATTCTTCAAATACAATCTTTGTAGATATTAAAAAATGGAGTTATCATCAGAAATATTGGAAAGCTTGGTTATAGATGACAAGGCTGTTATGGAGGTATTGAAAGATGGAAATGTTATGGAAGGAGATATCATATTTGAATCTGAAATGATTACTGAAGATTCTGAGGAAGCAGAAATAGAAGAAATTATAGAGATAATTGAGGAAGTCGAGGAAAGCGAGACACCTCTAAATGATGATGTCTCGGATAAGGACAAGTTGACAGATTCAAAGGATATTGACACAATTGAAAAGACAAAGAGAAATGACAGAACGATTAGTAAAAACATAGAGCTTTATAACTTTGACGATGAGAATTCAATGTTTACCTCTCAATTCGAAAAAGAACCAACCAAACATGTAAAAAATAGCACACACAAAATCACTAAAAAACAAGTTATAAACTATGATGTTGATGAAGATTGGCAAGATGAGGAGTTAGAGCGAGTGGATGGATTGGACAATAATTCTGAACTGACTGATAATCATGTGAGCTCTTTACGAATGCAGGCTGATAAAAAGCATGTAAATAATCAGACTATCTCACTGCAATCAAACAAAGTAGATTTAAAAATCCATGTGGATCCCATGGGAAAGGTGGACAAATCTCGAATGGAATCCCATGGGAATAAAGTAAATGATATTGTAGATGGTAGTGATTCAACTCAAGAGATAGTGAAAAATACAGAGAACAATCTATTGTACACTGTGCTAGGATCAAAGAAGCAAGATTCTTCCACTAAACAACAAGAAAAACTCAATGATCATTATGTTAAAGTTAGTATTTGATGAAAATATGTGTGCAAATAATCTGTCAATATTAATGAGTCAATATTATATTATTCTAGATGGAACGACTTGAAGCAAATACTATACCAGTTGAGGGTACTATTTACTATGAAGGAGACAACATGGAGACATTGTATGTAGCACAAGCCATTGATGATAACGAACAATATCAGTATGATAACGCGACGATGGAACAAGATGAACAAATGTCCTGGGAAGTGGCGAATTCCGAGGCCAATCAAAATCAAGAAGATAATTCTCAAGTATATGATTATAGCATTTACATTCGAAAATTCTACAAGAAAAAATGATGCATTAACATTAGTTAATAGCAGTCTAGTCAATCATAATCTTGTTAATTTAATAACAGTAATAATGAAATGAACACATTATGCTCTTGTTTTGATAAATATTATTTGTTTTATTAATGCTATTATTGCATTAAAGTTATTTCAAGGATTGTTTAATTAAAAAATAATATTGTTAATACAATATTCTTTTTTCTGTGTATTAATATATTGTAAGTAAATATACTTGTTTCTGCTTTTTTAGGATCAGATATTTTTGCACGAGGACGAAGATGGTCAATTGTATTTCAAGGATGCTAATGGAACTCTACAACCAGTATACTTAACCGAGGATGGAAATTACGCAATTGCTGAAAGTAGTGATGATAATACCAATAAAGACTCGCAATCTAAATCTTATCAGAATAATAGTACAATCCAAGAGGAGACTTTTATTCTGCCTGATATAGATTCCAAGCCTACTTCTAATAAACAGGTATCATTGTACATCCATGAATTTTTGTATGTGTGTATATAAAAATTTTTTCTATTTATGTTTATAATTTGTTAGATAACTAGTAGTACAGTATCATCGTCATCGTTTCAAGATTATGATAATGAAGACAATACTGTGACCATATCCTTGATAATATCGGAGGATGAGAACGGACAAAAGAGAACTCAAGTTATTATACCAACAACAGACAATTTAAAGTGCGACATCTGTAATAGAAGCTTTAAAACATCTTTCCAGTTACTCAGGCATAATAGACTAAAACACGCTCGTGAAGAAGATATAACTACAAGAAACTTCCCTTGTGACTCGTGTCCTAAAAGGCTAGTTGAAAAATTCAGTTGACGTGTGTGTGCGTGCGTGTATGCACATATATGTATATATATATATTAGGGTGGCTCTTATTTACCTTTGATGAAAGTTTTTTTTCGAATTTTGTTTGCGGCATTTCCCAAAACTGTTCCAATTTAAGAAAAAAAAATCTGCAAAATTTCAGCCCAATCGGATAAGAAGAAAACGTGCCGCCGGGCCACTGAACTTTATTATAAAATGAAAAAATCATCAATTTTCTGAATATCTTCTAACTTATTGAACTTATCAAAAAAGTTTCAAACAAAAGTTGTAGATTTGAATATGGGGCAAAATTTTATGCCATGTTCATTTTTTCGTATGACGAACGATTTTCGAGAAAAATAAAAAAAAACAGGAAGCAGATTAAAAATTATTATTAGTGATCTTCTTAACTGACTTGAATATTTTTAATTAAGGGAGGCACAAAAAAATATATATATATTCTTGATTTTTAACTTAAAAGGGTCATTTTAGAAAATTTTAAGAATAATTTATAAAAACAATATTAGAAACCGTTGATATAAAATGCTGTAATTAAGATTAAAAAGTAATTCGTATTTAAGAAAAATTTAGAACATTTTATTTTATTGTATCTTCATAATAATAGACTATTTTATCATATCTTAATGTAATGAATTAAGATAATTACAAATTAACACATTTTATACAGATTATTTTTATTATATAACTTTCAGTCTTATATAAGATCTTATATCTTTTTAGACAATGTCTCTTTTTTATAGTCGGGGAAATCAACGGTGATAATCATTCACAATTTGCAAAATATATTGTGCTTGTTTTGCGTTCTTTGTGAATAATCTATTATAATTTTCCACCAATTGAACATCCCTTTCTACCGTATCATTAATAACTCGTAGTTTATTCACTACTTTCAGCCCTTTTTGGAAACTAGTGTTTTCAGACCACAAGTTGATGGGTCTGTTTGCAAGAATTGATCGTCTAATTTATATCTTTTAAAACAATTTTTAGTTTTGACGGAAACGAAGTATTCAAAAATCCCTTTTGCATAAATTCAAAAATTTCTTTTATTAATACTCGCTTAATATTTTCTAACGGCAAAGTCAAATAAAAAAATGCCAATGCGATAGCTTCACGATAGCTAAAATACTATAAATGGTTCCTATACGTATATAGTATCTACGTTGAAGCATGGTTTAATGTGTCTTCTGCTACTAAAGCATATTAGGATTGCAAGTTTCTGTCTAAGTTTTACGAACGATTGATCATAATATTTCTCGAATTACTTTGCATAAATTGAGGGATCATTTATGGTACTTAAGCCCTGAAGCTATCGCATTGGTATTTTTTGATTTGAATTTGCCATTAGAATTGAAGCAAAAGATGATCGATGCTTTAAATTGTGAATCATGTGACGAAAATATTAATCGAGTATTAATAAAAGATGAAAAAATTTCTGACTTTATGCAAAAGGGATTTGAATATTTCGTTTCTGCCGAAATAAAAAATTTTTTTAAAAGATTTTAATTAGAAATTAGATGATCAATTCTTGCAAACAGACCCATCAACTTGATCTGAAAACACTGGTTTCCAAAAAGGGCTGAAAGTAGTGAACAAATTACGAGTTATTAATGGTAAGGCAGAAAAAGGTGTTCAATTCATGGAAAATTATAACAGATTATTTATAAAGAACGAACAAAAAACAAGCAACAATATCTTCTGCAAATTGTGAATGATTACCACCGTCGGTTTCTCAACTATAAAAAATAGATATTGTTTAAAAAGATATAAGATTTTATAAGACTGTAAGTTATATAATAAAAATAATCTATATAAAATAT